CCCCCCCCCCCCCCACACCTCCGGCAAGGCGATAAATAATGCCCAGTCCCTCAGTAGAGCTGACCCTACTCCGCACCAGTACCTTCGTTTTCCTAACGAAGGCCAAACATCAATAAAAGGTACGGTCTAATTTTACTATACTTCACCAACTGGTGGGCGGTACTATATTACGTACAGCTGAAATAAAAAGCGCTCTCTCTTCAAGTAAGCGCCATCCTCTCCGAAAAAATTTACTAAGTATTTACTTCAATCAAACTTCTCTCGAAGGAGTATTGCTTTCCTGAAATTATCCTTTTGATTAGAAAACTTCCGCATTCAATTCGAAATTGGTTATTTGCCAGAATCCAACTCTGATACGTGCTTATATGACCGGTTCAAGGTTAGCATATACACTTCTTCATAAGTTTGAGATTTTCTTCCCGTTGTGCTGAAACAGACAGTCTTCTTGAACATTATTGACATAAGATTGTTGGACACAGCTAACTGCAGCTGAATTTAACGCGCAAAAAGGCAGAGAATATTTTTCACCCATAGGATCTTACCTGTAAAATATTTTTCGCTCTTACTTGACACCGGTTAGAGAGTAACAGAAGAGCAGATTGATGTGGAAGCATTATTGGAAGAAGTTAATTTTTCATAGGTCTATAGAGTTGGCTCAGACCAAGTTGGTTATCTATTTTTGAACATGTTGAATGCAATTTCAAACCTAAATTCACTGATTTTGCATGACTATAATTTTGCAATTCGTGGGTCCAAGCCGATTTGAGGGCTGTCGTCTGAAGACACAACATGCAGATTAACTTCCGGAATATTTTGTTTCGTGTTTTCAGTGGGATTTCAAGAAGTTATCTCACGTAAAAAACCAAAAATAGTCTTCCGTTCGGAAGAGTATACTCACGGTTTTCGGATTCCTTTCACTGGTTATAACTAGGCAATCTGAATAATACTTGAAATATGTCTTCCATTCGATTGATCATTCGATTAAGTTGCCTAATAAATAAAACGCGTAACGAAACCCAGCTCTTGCGGATGTTTCGAGATATTTCAAGGAATCATGTTTTCGAAACTTTCACAAGTGAAACACCGAACAAACAAAAAGCAAATAAAAAGACCAACGGTCTTATTTGGATATTGGGATATTTTATGTGGTATTTTTCAAGCATATGCATCTAATCTGGGTACAACCCCGGTCCTAATTTCGGAAACTCTTACGATCAAGCACGCTAAAATTACCAAGTATTTATGATATCAGTTTCTTCCAAGACGAATTTCCCGACATGAATCATGCTTTCATTTGGTATTATAGCAAAACTTTAGAACTGAATTAGGCTCCTATCGTTTTGACTAAGAACTAGCCTCGGTATATTGTAGTTGAGAATCCTCGGCAGCAACGAGTCGTAATGCTAAACTTATGAAGTGGTACTGAAAAAGAGTTAAATAAAAAGCCAGAGACACTCAAGTTATGCGCCGAAAGCCATTTGATGTAGAGCAACGATTTCCTGGAAGGATTACTTCAACCGACAAGGAAGTCGAACGATCTAACTCTTCCGAAAATCAGATTTACCTGACTCTTTTGACAAATTTAGAAAACAATTCCTAAATCAACAGAGCAATTAGAATTAAAATTACAGTTCCGCATACTGGCCCACGAACACTTCCTCTTGTATTCTTGATATTTGACTTGAAAGTTTGACTTAAGTGTTCCGGTCAGTATCGATCTTGTGGTAACCACGACAAACGCAATTGCACGAAACAAATGCATATAAAGAAAAAAAATCTTGACAATATTTATTCACTGATCCACATCTCAGTCACGCAAACACCATGCTTTGATAAAAACCCGTGCCAACTTGCTCGCGGCAAAACAGATTTCACGACACTCAAGTAATGTATGTTGTAACTTGCGATCAGGTCTTCTTTTCTTTGGAGCACGATAAAGCAACCGGCTTTTGCGCCGATGCACTTTCGCGGTCGGGAAAAAAAATAACGCCTGATCGTCCATAAGTTACTCATGCTGTTGCATATTTCAGGTCTTGAGGTGGTTTTCTAAATTACAGGGCGTGAAGGAAGGATAATTATGTCCGGTCGCGGTTGAGATGCTCGGTTCTGGGTCAGTTCTTTCAAGATGGACAAGCCGGTGACCCTTCAGATAATTCTCGTACACCTTTCCTATTATGGAGTGGATGAGTTTCTCAATGTTCCATAAATTAAAGCTTCAGTTCTAGTCACAGCGCTTTTGATACCACGCTCATTACTTCTATAGCAATACAAAAAGCTTGTAAATTAAGTTAGTTTCAGAGGGCGTTCTTTTTCAACTGCACTCAACTTTGAAAATTTTGTAGTTACGTAATTGAAAATGCCCTCTGGTTTCGAAGACTCCGTTCATCAAAATAGCTTAGGGGCAATTTGGTTGCCATGATTTTAGTAAACATCGTTAATTAACTAAAATAATCATTTGAGAGCCTACACATTTTTTCATTTTATTTGATATTCCCGATACGAAATGAATCATGTAGACCAATTGACCGACCGAGAATATTTAACCACGTGTTTTTACTTTGACCGGCCGAGCATTTGTTTCACACCATGCTCCACGGAATGGTTGGTATTCGATCAAGCAGGAGCAGTTACTTGTCGTCTTTGATTGGCAAAGTCAGTAACCCATAAAACACGTTCTATGATTCCATAATGAGAAACCGTGAAACCACGCGTGGCATTTTATCACATTTCGTCTCATCTATCCCACAATCCTTTTAGCAGATCACTCGAGTTGACGTCATCAGGGGAACGGTTTGCTTGTTAATGATTTCGTTGAGCTTTCGAGACGTGAAGCTAATCTTGGCCTGATTGAGCCCGGTTTCTCCTTCGTTTTGCCATAGATTGATAGAGAGTTAGATTCTTAATTTATAACGAGGCGAAAACATCTTACCGTCCATATGCGACAGCTGGGAATGAGTATTTCTACGGCCGATAAGGAATTGGAATTCGCCGATCCGAAGGAAGAGGCGACTTACTGGAAGCAAGTAGCCGAGGATTTAGAGCGAAAGTGAGTGTTTTGAAGACCTTGTCTTTCGATGACATTCATTCGATGTAGTAGGAAAATGATAGAAGATTCAAATTCAACGTTTCTTTTGGTTGAAAGGTTGCAAGAAGCGAGAGATGAACTCGACGAGTTTCAAGAAGGTAGTCGTGAATTAGAAGCAGAATTGGAAACGCAGTTAGAGCAAGCAGAAGCCAGACAGCGAGAACTTTTGTCAGCAAAAACACGACTAGAAACGGAAAACGAAAGCTTAAAGGTAAAGGAAAGAATATTTTATTTAATGGCGTAAGTCGCGTATCGCCAGTTTGTCTGTTGATTAATGGAACATTGTAAATAATGCAAGAGTTGCTTCGCGTACACTGGCCATCTTGTCTTCCGAGTTGTCGATAGTTCGACTGTTCTGGTTTTGACGTTCACTTTTGGTTTGATCGTATTTTAGGCGAGACTAGATGCAAGCCAGAATGAATCCTATCTTACGATATCAGCGCTACAAGATGAAGTAGCCCAGCTTAAAGCTGTTCGAGAAGAAGTTCAAAAATACGTTCGGGAACTCGAACAGGCGAATGACGATCTGGAAAGAGCGAAAAGGTCTGTAGAAAAGAAATGTGAAGCTAATGTTTGGCTGTGTTTTGGAGCTGTAAGGCATAGCTAACGACAACATTCAAATCATAATTGTGATCATTTTCCCATATTTCATGATGACCTGATATTTTTTTGCCTCCTTGAATGGCATTTGATGTTGTCCATGTTGCTCAAATTTTACCCGGTTACAATATTTTTGTACTGTGTTGCTTTTAGTAAGCTTGTATGTAGTCGCCCACAGATGAAATCAAGAGAAGGTGTCTTTACATGTCGAAACTTAACTTATTCAAATATTATCGCTTAAAATGTGTTTGCTAAAGTACGACTTGTGGCATGCGACAAATTGAGGCACAGGACAAGGGTCGGGGGAAATAATCCCCGTATCAGTTTCTGTGGCCATGCATTAAGGTTAGGGCACTTGCGATTTTATTTTCTCGATTACTCTAAAAAATGTGACGGGCAATTTTTCGAATTACCGCCTTGAAGGGAGCTTTTTGCCAGTTTCAAACAAGAAGATGGTTGCTCTATAACAGAAAGGTCGCTTGTTAAATGCTGCTTTGCATTAGTTGGAGGATTAAAATATTATGTTAATTATATGTCATTGAATTACAAAGGAATTTTGTCCTGTTTATTAGGTTTTTATTACCCTTTTAGCCTTTTCAATCTCTTCCCTTTTTCTTTCTTTCTCCAAGTTTTGGCTTTGTTAATGTTGGACCTAGTATATATGAGTGGAAATATAGCCTTAATTGGGTAAACTTTTACAAAATGTCAAACCTAGCGGGGTGTAACAATATTTACGTTCTATTAATTCTCTTTTGTTTTGTCAAAAGAATGATTCCCAGTGTATCTAGGAGAAAAGTATCCAGGGCATGATGCGGGCTTTATTCCCTAATTAATGGTGTGAAATGATAAAATGAAAACAATGTCAGCAGGAAAAGAGGAAGTTGCAATTATGAAATTCTCATACACCTGTAACTCTGAATCTGTCCATCTTTTGGTCATCAGAGATAAATATTTATGTTATTTAGTAGAATGAAGCTTGTTGCCCTTAGATAGAACACTGAACACCTGTAGGGTTAGAAGAAATTGGCACCATGCTGATGAGTAAATTTTGCATTTTTAATTAATTTAATCCCTCCTTGATCATGGCGTATTCATCTATAAAGAACATTGCTCTGAATTAGCAGGACTTTTGCAATGTTTTAAAATGTTCTTTGGTGTGGTTCTCAATCATTTTGAAACATGGTTGTTACAAGTTCCTGTAGGGTTTTTAAACTTTGTTTTGAGGACCATTCAAAGTTTTTGTTATGGTTGATAGCTGTGGTGACTTGAAACACAATATTTATGTTCTAGTTAATAAACTTATGTTTCAAACAAGTGTGGTTAGTTTTAACAATTTTTCTGAAATTTATCTCGATTTGGTCACAAGTTGTCGCTTAGTTTTCTTAAGAATATATTTCTTAGTTTTCCTTTTGTTGGAAGTAAAGGAATGAATTTCAAACCAGATTTCAGGCTATTTCAGTTCATATAACTACTTGCATTTTTGTATATATATGTGTGTGGTATACAAACAAAATTATTATAGATAGACATTGCTAGCCCTTTTCAAAAAGCACCTGCTGTCACATTAGCTAGTGAACAAAATTCGTGGACATTTCTCAGAATGTTAAATTTCTATCTATGATGTGTGCTTGTATGAAATTCTGCATTTGATTACTGTTTTCTTTTTCAAGTTACACATTTTACTTTGCTAAATTTCTCTTCTCTATCTATGGAGTGATACTTTCCTAGGTCTCTGTACTGAAAAATTGCCAAATAACTTTTTGTAATTGTGCTTGTCTTTGACTAGATTCTTAGTAATTTTCTTGACAGGGTTTATCATGAAACCAAAAAAAGACACAAAAATATTTTCTTTGCTAAATAAGATTAGCTGATGCCATAAATATTAAGCTGGAAAATTCTGCAGAAGAGCCAGAGAATTCTCTTATCACCAAAGTTTCCTGTAGTAGAAACTTCATTAAATAAGATTATCTTGTGGATTTGCACAGCTGAATAGCTAGCATTTTTGTTGCTTACTGCAAACATTATCTATTCTTTAGTATGTTATTTATCGTTTATTTGTTTATTTATTATTTTAAATCATTTCAGGGCAACAGTGTGCTCACTGGAAGACTTTGAGCAGAAGCTGAACCAGGTAATTAGCACCAGGGTGGAATATATTGTAGTAATCTTATAACAGCTTTATCATCAGTGGTGATGCACATATTCAACTTAAGGGGAGAGTTTTGTATCACGAAATGCTCATTTTATATATTAAACTTGGGTAAACTGTGGAGCAATGGAAAATTCATTTGCTTTTTATTTTGGAAAAGGCTATAAAAAGCTGCCACTGATTTATCTTAACAAGTGATAGAAACAGTAGATTTTTGTATCCTTGTCTTGCAGGCCATAGAAAGAAATGCTATTCTTGAAAATGAGTTAGATGAAAAGGAGACCCTCCAAGAATCAGTACAAAGACTGAAAGATGAAGCAAGAGGTTAGAAAAGATATTCAATATAATGATAATCATTGTGTTGCAGTATTGTACTCAAACTGTTTTACCAAGTTCAGATGGACATTTAGGCACCATGTTGTTCACTTCAAGGAGAACAAATTTTTTCATGCATTTGACGCCAAATTTCTAGAAGTGTTTGTTAATTGTTTCATTTATCTGTTCCTCTTGCATAAACTGTTAGCCATTCTTGCTGCTTAGGAACTAATTTACCTTATACTATATTATAATTGACTATTTTAAGATTCATTAACATACAGAGATAAAGAACCGCAAAAATTGATATTGGCTGCTCTTAGATATTGTGTTGTTTATTTTGGCAAGTATACTGTTGGGTAAAAGCGCGCCATCTATATTAAACTTGATGCTCAAATACCAGAAGGTTTTTTCCCAGTTGGAGGTTTTAAGCAAGAATATTACTGGTCGTAAAGCCATGTGTTGATGAAATGTGAAGGTGATAAATAGTGCTCAGGAATTGAAGTGCATGCCTTAATGAATTTGGTTACACAACACTTGCATAAAAAGTGTTTAAAATGCTAGTTTCTGTGTAGTTTCATGGAAATTGACATGGTACCTCAACAAACTCTGTAATATTCTATGAGGGCTATTAAGATATGGTCGCACAAAATTTCTCATAGAAGGAAGCATTCCATTGTAAATGAAAAATAGCATTCCACAATGTCTAGATAAAATGCCTTGGGCATGATTCTTTACCTTGTAGACATGTTCAAGAGAACCCCTGATCTTACTTATGAGGCTTTTTGGCAATGAGCTTACTACTGGAGAAAAAGCCTTTAGAGTTTCAGTTTCTTTAAATTGCAAAATGTTATTTTGAAAACTTATCTCAAATAAAAAAAGAAAGGTTTCATTGTTTTGCAAGCAGCACAAAATGTCATGAGAGTAACAAAAATGTCTGGTGTTCTGTGAAGTAATTCTGGTTGTGAAATGTTGATTTTTTTGCATAGATCTTCGACAAGAACTTGCGGTGAAAGAAAAAGAGAGAAAAAAACCTGGTGATGGATTAGAATTTAGCAAAGATAAAGAGAGTAACAAAGAAAATAAAGAACCATTGAAAATAGAGGGATCTCCATTGAAACCAGAAACTACAAGCCAGACATCAGATTTCCATGCTACAACTGCTTCCATAGGAACATCACCACTCCACACAGGGTATGGCACTTCTCCGCTGACTCCATCTGCACGAATATCTGCACTAAACATTGTCGGCGATCTGTTGAGAAAAGTAGGGGTAAGTGATTTACACATATTTTTTTCTCTGAGAAGAAGCACATAGCAGATTTGATGCAATTTGATGTAGCATTACTTGTTGGTACATTTTTTCTTTCATTTCATTCATACTTAATTCATATTACTCTGCTCTCTCCTGCAACTTAGGCCCTTGAATCTAAACTGGCTTCATGTCGAAACTTTGTTAAAGATCAACCTCGAAATCCAAGAGGATCAACTGGGTCTAACAGCCCCTCAGATTCTCCAAGGTAATGAGTCATCACACTGATAGCTTCAAGTTTACTAATTGAAATAATGAAAATATATTTTCAGGGTTCTCCTTATCAGGCAGTATCCAGTAAAATTTACCACTTGTAAGAGCACTTATTACCACCTGCAAACGCTCAGAACCCTTAAAAAATACACATTTATGGTGAGCTAATCTGGTAAGAAAGTGTAATAACAAGCCAACAGTGTGCACTATTATAGATCTACAGGTACTTTAGTTAGCTAACACTGACTGGTACCTTTCAAATTTTGAAGCAAGAGTGATTTTTCACAGGCTTTCTGCTAAATCTCGTGACATTTGTCAGTTCTCTGCATGTGCAAATGTGGTGTTGTTTAGTTGTTCAGTTTCCATGATGAAACGGTAGCAAACAATGCTGTCATTTCTGTCCAGTAACAAGAGGTCACAAAGAGTGGCTGGTAAGCTTTACAAGAATTTAAGTAGTAAACAAAATAAAGGTTACATACTAGCAATGGAAAAACAGCCAATTCAAATAACCATTCTGACAGCTCTACAATTACCGGCTGTATAACAAACACATGGGGACAAAGCTAGTCTTCATCGTGAAATTCTACTTGAAATGTGTGTCAGACAACAGTTTGAAAGAAGCCTTGAAAGTAAAATCTCTAGACAGCATAAAAGTTCTGAATGTGAGACAATTAGAGCACAAATACAGCTATTCAATGTGATTCGATTTCATAGTGATGCAATTCGTAGCTGACACCACTGATTTTCCAGTGATATGCCATGTAAGTGACACCAAAGATATCACCCAAAATCGAAGGGAGACCAGTTTACGTTATAAGCAGTTTAGAAAGGGCATAGAAAAAATTTTACTTTGTTTTGTTCAACCTCTGAACCTAAAGGTGTATCATTCACATTATGAATTTTTTGATGGAGAACTTTTGATAGGCACGATGTACTGTATGCTTTAGGAAATGACATAGTTGAGCATGACCAGCCGCCTGAAGCTGCAAATGTGCTTAACTGGTTTGAAAAGGTCCCTTACCTGCTGTGTTGAAAACAAGGGAGAACCCTGCATTTTTTATGGCCCGTTTTGGTAATACTGTGGTCACCCAGAATGGGTGAAAAATGAATTTGTCTCTCATCATTTTATCTTCTATTTTATATGTATCTTATTGTGGTGTTTTTACTTTTTATTTCAGGCCAAGCAGAATTCCCAAGAGCAGTTACCAAAACCCAGGAATGCAGGGACTGGTTAAGGTTCAGGTGTAATGAAAGAAACATGTGAGAGAATACTAAATCTGACTGTTCTGTGAAGAAGAGCTGCTTTTCACAACATTCTGGGGAACACTGGTCAGTGTTGATGCAGGTGTTGCCTTAAAAAAAAAAAAAAATGGAACTAAAGCCAGAAGTTTTGAAAAACAGCCCAATGAATGAGTCTGGTTGTTTGTAAATCCTTTGAATTAAATTCCTGAAGTGAATTTCAAGGTAGTGGTTGTTAACCAATTTTAATATTAAGTTGCTAACTTGAAAATTCAATCGAATTTTAAATATAGAGCAGAATTTGTGTGTCCAATTTGTACAGATATTTTGTATAGCTGTTGAAGCATTTTATTGTAACATAGTTGCAGATTTCATTAGCACAAGAAAGATTCCTTATGAAAAATGGTGAGACATTTAAGAATATTTAATTACAGTGGTACTGTATGAAGGCAAGTTGCTAACTACAGTTATTAAAAATTCCCAATACTTTGGAGTATTTATTTTTAAAGACTTAATTCTGCCAAATCAATCTGGATAGGTGTTGCTGAAACATTTGTTGCAGAAAATTTGGTTAGATGCTTCTAAACATTTTTGATGGTTCACTCTTTGATTTGGAAAACAGAGCATGTTCACAGCTGGAATTAAAGGATAAATTTTCATAATTGCTCTTTATGAAACCTTGAAGATGAGATCAGAGTTTCATGATGTGACTGTGAGAATTTTCACAACTTTCTAATACTAACCTCCATCACATACCTCTTCCACCTTAGTTTTACAGGCCAAACATTTCTTTCCAACCTGTGCAGAGGTTTCAATAAAATATGGTGACAGGTGCTTTACCACCACCTGTAAGACTTCATGTCACCATCTGTTCAGCTTGCACACAGGCACTCATGTTTAGGCTTTGCCTTACAGCTAGCCACTTATTATAGCATCAGCAGCCCCCTATGGATGTGAAAACCCCTGCACAAGGAAAAGCTATTTGTAACATTTAGAAGCCTTCCTTCATAAATGTTTGTTTCACTTAAGTTTTGATTTTCCTTAATCAAGATATCAGGGTTGACTGATTGTCCTGATTTTCCAAATCAAAGGTTGAAAAAGCAAAATAATTGTATTTGAAGAGTCAGTTTTCTCATAATCAACTGGTGTTTGTGGTGTTAAAATTGGGGTGTTGTATGTGAATTTTTTCAATCAAATTAATTTACTAGAAGAATCCAATAAGTACGTTATCAAGACTAGCCAATGAGCAGGTTCTCATGAGCACTGCAGTACAACTGGTGAACCAATGAGAGTCAAGTTAGTTTAGCAATTGAAATAATTCACCATGGGGTCTGACATAAAAGATTTTTGGATGAATGTCAGCATTTGACCAAGTGCACACCCACCCCTCCCCTCCCCAACTCAGCATTAACCCTAACTTGTTATCAGTTGACTGTTGTTTGGTTAAGGGAGGGGTAGGTGTGTGCTCAGATACTGATACTGATCCAGATTTTTTTGGTTGCTTGCTGGTTGGTGTAGTTGTGTGCCTATGAGTGCTTGCTTGCAGGCTGTATAGACTGATAACAGCAGTTTTTGTTTGCAAAAGGCTGTATTTGTTTTTCCTTAACATGTTTCGATGTCATATCAAGGTGTGCTTGTATATCAACTAATTTAAGTTCTGCAAATTGGCTTTTTTTGCGAAATTACTCTAATTTAACCAATCATGGTAGTTGTTGAGGTGTAATTAAAGAGGAAACTTTTTATATTTTTTAAAATAAACTTAATGTACATGTAACATAAAAATACCTTATATTCTAATGGATACTTTTTAACCTCTGTGGCTGCTTCAAAAGGTAAATCTTATTTCAAGCAAAAAAAATTTGCCAAAGATAGGTGCTATCGTATATGATGTTTACTCCAAAATATATTTTAAAAATAAGACAATTATTATAGTTAGTATATACCAAACAGGTGAATAGTGCCTTCTGCAAGCAAGCACTATTCAACTTGTGCATCCTAAGTATAATTTTTGACCATTTTTTTTATGTTGTGGGATAGATAGAAGCAATTTTTTTGGGTGTCTGAGTGGTATTTAGTAAAACAAACATTCATCTCAGTGTCTGTAACTGTGGTGGGTATTTCCACCACCGTTTACCTCTATTTTGGTGAATGATTGTTTTTGTTATAATTTTTCATGCACCTTTCGAAGTAATGGAGTCATTACTAAATGATTTGTTTGTTAATTAAGAGCTAAACCATTTTTTCAAGATACTAATTGGACTTTATCTTCTCAGTTTCAATCCCACTGAAACAATTATTTATTACAGCTTATCTTTGGCAAATGTTTTGTTTTGTAATAAGGTTGTTAAGGACTGGCTGCAGTGAGGGTAGTGGTTACCATAAGTTATGTGAGTGAGCTTCTTGTCATTGTTTGAAACATTCAAAAAGAAGAGTGGGGACCTGCCATGTGAAATGAGCTTGGACACTTGTTAGGCCTTAAAAAATTCATCAATTTTTGATTTGATTACAAAAGTTTTTGAGATAAATGAATGGGTGCATGGACAAAGGGCACAAGTGACTTCTGATAGACTGCTATATTCTCATGCTTAGGGTTTGTCTTGTGATCCTTTGTGAAACATAAGGAGAAGTAGATTTTTATCAAAAGTCACTCAAGGCTCTACCTCGTGCACTCCACATAAAACACATTATTTTTAGCCAATAAGGTATGTAACTTTTAGTTGATTGGGAGACATACATTGTATTAAGTATGGAGTCTTCAGCATTCCTCTCTCAACGGTTATTCAAGATTCTTAACCTGCTTTATTCCAGGCTGCCATTAATGTGGAATTGCTTGATTAGACTTCAAGCGTGCTCATTTAATATCACATTTAGGCAGATCTCCTTTAATTGAGTTTCAAGCTCCTTGCTTGTTTCACATGGACATCCCTCACTATAAGATAATTTCTTAAACATGATTACAAGACAATTACTATAAGTCCTGTTATTCTATCATTTGTAAGAAAAAAAAAATGTCTTGTCTGGTTACCAGATGATGCCATTGCGAGTGTTATTTTGTCTGCTTATTGTGGTGAGCAACATATAAACCTGATAAGTGTGTTACAGACTAAGTTTAAGTAATCCAAGTGACCTTAGCCTTGAAAATGGATTGAAAAATTCAAGGTAAACATTTCCAAGCACAGTTTTTTGGTACTATGTCAAGTCAGCCTGACTTGTGAGGTTTATCTCAAAACAGTGGTTTATAATGTAAGAAGGACTATCACTAAACACTTAATGCTATATTTTCAGTAGGAAAAAAATTAATTCCATCCAGGTTAGTGTTACCTTGAAGAAAGAATCTTTCATTTTACAACTTAAATTATTGTTGCCATCTTAAAGCCTGCAACCTTCTTAACTCGAAATTTAGTAGGCCATACTTTATATTTTTAAATTTTCAACAGAAAACAAGTGTTACTATTCCCAGGCCTTATTCTATAACTACATCCAACTTAATTGTTTATTCTGCAGAGGCTTGTGATGTTGTTCTGTCAAGAATTTTAAGACAAAAAATAAGGCTATTGTTTAGTACCTGTAATCTCTTATTACCATCACCACAGACTTTTGTAGTCAATTTTGTTTACGCCAATGAACGTAAAAGGGTCCCTGGCTTGTTCATTTCACCACTAAAAAGATTGTGCAAAGTATCTCATCCAGATCAAATAAAAAGATTGATATGAGTCGTGTGTCTCAGTATGTCGCTGACTTCTCTATCTCCAGCCCCACTCTTGCCTGATTTTTAGGGAGAAAAAACCAAAGGAACCAATTGAATAATTCGCCCTTTTGCATGTAGCAAATGTAACCCCTTCCAAGGGACAATTCGTTATTTATCATTTGGGTGTGGGGGTTGGTGGGTTTTGGTTGTGGCACGATGAAATGTGCCTGAACCCTCCAAAATCCTTGCCCCCACCCCAGGATTGTTACCTAATCATACGTTAAATTTGGCCAAAATTTGTTAGTCAGATATTAAAATGAGAAACGGAATGAGAAAAGGAAGACCAGGGCCGGGTTGTTCAAAGCTGAGTTATGATAATACAGGGTTTGTGTGAAATTTGATTTCTGATCTGAAACCTTTAAAAGAAAATTCAGCTTAAATCTTTTTAATGATCAACGTGATGATTGGACGTTCTGAAAAGAAAAGGAAAAATTTTCTTCAAAAGGTTTTTGAACAGAGAAATAAAGAAGCTTGGATTGAATTTTAACCCTGGGCTAGGGATTTTCTTCTTCTCATGTTTTTTGTTTGTTTGTTTTTTTTTAATGCAATTCGCAACGCTAATAAACATAGCAGCCTGTTTGAAATTACCTGATCCCCCCATAAGGCTCTCTATTATAATCCCCGCCTCATTTGCAGTTAATTAACAGTCAATGTTCCATAGTAGGTAATTTAGTGTTAACAACTGGGTTGAAAACGTAAATTAGCCACCGTAAAGAGTAAAAAAGCTGACGTTTCGAGCGTTAGCTCTCGTCAGAGCGATTAGTCGTTAGCCCTTCGTCTAATCGCTCTGACGAAGGGCTAACGCTCGAAACGTCAGCTTTTTTTACTCTTTACGGTGGCTAATTTACGTTTTCAACCCAGTTGTTAACACTAAATTACCTGCTATACTCTCCCACCGACGCAGCACCACAGTTTCTTTAGAAACTTACCCCTTCATTCAATGTTCCATAGTCCCCCTTTTAAACTCTCTTGACAAGGAGTGATCGATTCCCTCTCTGTTCCCCCTAGGAACTATGTGATCCCCCTAAAAAAACCCCTTGTTCCCACCCCCAGGCCATAAATTTAATGATTGCTTACTAATTATAGGTTGAGATTTGGCCAAAATTTGTTGGTCAGGTATTAAAATGAGAAATGGAATGAAAAAGGGAAGATCAAGGGATATCGAAATGTTCTGAATTTTTTTTTTTTTTTTTTTTTTTTTTGCAACTTCAGAATGAATGTCGTCGATTTTCTTCCCATGTTTTTCTTTCCTTCTTTCTCCTTTTTCTTTTTTACGAAACAGAAGGGATGGCCCATAATGCAATTCGCAACGCAATTAAACATGGCGGCCTGTCTGAAATAAGTGGAGCTATCCGGCTTTGCAACTAAATGTTTGCGCGAGTGAAGAATGTCACAGGATGAGGCTGTGATTTCCACAAATGACGATGCTACGGCCTGTAAGAGGTAGAAAAAACAGTTTTTCAATTCGTTGTATATAATCAGGAGGAAAAGGAAGGCTCCTCAACAGGAAGCTTAGTCACCCTTTCCTGATATGAAACTTAAGCTTATAATTCAGCTGACGGCCCGTGGGAGTTCTGTAGTTAACGGGACGAGTTGAATGAATAGTTTATTGAGGCTTCTGAATCTTACAATCAGTGGCCCTAATCGAAGGAAGGGGGCCATCATCCGATCGTTTCCTCTGCTTTGATCGGCTTTGTTATTTCGGTTTGTGTCATCGCTAAACCGTTAGCTCTCCGCACAACCCCATACTACATTATGCATTCAGTTCTTGGATAGAGAAAACAGTGCCAAAAACAATACATTGCCATTAGCAAAACAGATTTGTTTTACAATAGTATGGGGCTGTGCGGAAACTTTACCGCTCTCCCCATAATACACATTAAGATAGTCACTGAAAAAGAGGCTGAGACTTTTGGACATGTATTTTCTCCGCCTGTCTTCAGACTGAGATGCAAAGTCAGCAACTCATGACCACTTTGAACAACCACGGGTTTATGTTTAAAATTCTTAAGATAAACAATGGAAAGTGAAGCCATCCTCGTACTATTGAGTAAAGCTTTCATAAAGTGTTTTGGATGGGATGCTTGGGGAGCATTTGCTCATTTGCGCATTTTAAATACTTAAACATGAGGAAATTGTGTCTTTGTTTCTTCCAAAGTGTGCGTAATTAGCTAGAAGTTCTGCAGGTACTATAGGTGTCACCTCCTTTCCTGCATGACTCCTACCTTCATTCCTTCCCCCTCACCCCCATGCTCAGAGGACGGCCTCCTATAAAGTTACCATGGAGTTATCATTTGATGTCCTTCAGAAGCTTGCTCATTTTTGGTGCAAGTTCTAGATAAAAAATTCCTTTGATTGATAATTATTTTATTTCTTTATGGAGTTGCTAAAAATTTCACCCTTGCTTGTTTGTTGTGATTTAGGTTTGCTGTTCAATTAGGTTACTGGTCAGATGGTTACATTCAACACTTTGCCAAACTAGGAGAGAGAAAGACTCCAGAAATAAACAGAGGTAACTTTATGGTTAGACAGGCAGTTTAGTGGTTCATGTTATAACCCTGGCTAAGGTCTATGTGTTGTGTTGTTAAGTAAAATACTTGCCATTAACCCTCACCATACCTCTTTCCACCAAGGGTTATAAATGGACACTGATGGGATGTTAAGGGAACTTGAAGAAATGCTCTAGGCTTTTCCTCCTTCAAGGTGGAAAAGTAATTCTGCTACTTGCTTCATGTTGTGGCTTGTGCTGCTTTTTGTTTGGTGTGTGCTCCAAAGCATTAAACAGCAAAACTAGTGCTATTTTCTGTCACATGACTCTCAAGGCTTCTCTGCTCTTTTTGCATGGCTCCACTGCTTGGCACTTCAAAGCACATGCAAAGCCCCCAGTTACAAACTTAAGGCAGGTCTTGGTTCAAAAAAAGAAATATATGAAGGTTCATGAAGATATTGCCTTTTTTTAAAACATTTTGTCCAGAAATCTGCTTTCATTTACTGCTTGGATGAGAAATTTGAGTTTATTGGATAGAATTCACCTCTGCCATCTTTGAACAAAACTGCAAGTTTGTTTGTAGTTTCTATGATAAGGTGATGAAGTGAAATTTATTTTCCAGATGATTAACCTTATCAATTGTTTTTTATTAAATGGAGTTCATTGCCTCTCTGCAGGTTACTATGCTCGTGTTAAAGGTATGCATACTCTGCTGGACCAGTTTCTTGCTAAAACAGAATGCAATTGTCAGGTTGTTAATCTTGGGGCAGGATTCGATTCCCTCTTTTGGCTTTTAAAGGTGAGTTCTAGTGCAAGATTTGGTTCTTTCATTAAGGGGGAGGTAGTGTTGTCCACAGAGATCTCAGTAATCATAGGAAAAAAATCCTATTTGAACCTCTCTCCTGGGTACTTGTCTTAACCAGTTCCACCTTCTTCACACCTCACAGCTAATATGCACCTCGTGCCTTCTGCAGTCTGTTCCTAATATCTTTACTGCCTCTGCCTTCCTTGTCTACAAAAGCTCCAAGAAACTCCTCAACATCTTCCACTTCTTCACCATTCACCACAATGCTCTCCCTGTTCCAAGTAAACTCAGTTCTCAGTGTTCTGCACTTTCTTGCATTAAGGTTAAGGCCTACTCTGGCTGCTTCCTCCATCAATCTCCTAATCTGCTTACGCAAGTCATTAAACTTGGATAAAAGTAGTGCAATGTTCATCCAGGTATCAGAGCTGAAACTTCCCTTAAGATCCATCACCGAGCTGAAATTTCTCTTGACAAAAATTTTCGCGTGAGTAGCTAGGCCAACAGTTGAGAAAGGTGGACATGTAGATATGAAAATTTTGGTTGAGGTTTTAAAGATCTTGACATTCGCAGTCATGATGAAACCATGGCTCAAGGATCACTAGAATGTTAATTAGTTAATTGAAAGTGAACTTTAAATGTACATGTCAGTAGTCAGACTACTGAACAGCTATGAAGTTTCTATTGTTGCCAAAAGGAGTTGTCACCTTAACAGGTGGGAGCTTGATATGGTTTTGAAAGTGAGCATTGGAAATTATAAATTAAATGAAAGATAGTTTGTTGTTTGTTATTGTTTTTTGCCAATTTTTCCCCTTTCAATCCTTACTTTTATGATTACATTTTTTTTTTTTACAGTCAAACATATATATTTGCCAAGTCTCAAAATATTATATCAACCCAATGGAGGGGACCTCAGAGTCCCGCCTAGACGATCAAACATTTTCGTTCAACGTCATGTTTGTTGCACACAACATTGGGTAGCTAAACAAGTTAACAAAGTCAGCCCACATAATACGTTTAGCATATTACCGCTTAAACCATGGCGCGCATCACATAGATTCGATCTTTGATTTTTTTTCTCCTGCCTGGGCGCCTTTGACTCGATTTTGGTTTAAAATGTTTGATCGACTGGCCGGGAATTTGGAGAGCGCTGTATCATTTTTCTGTTTAGAACCACATGATACAACAGTCTAGACTTCTTGATAATGAACACTTGTGTAAATTGTATCACCACAATCGCAATTACTTCTATTACTCCACTGCAATACCTATTGTTAATTGGGGTAGTGTTTATGGAAATGTGAATGATTTGGATTTCTTAAAGGAAGAAAGTTTAGCACCCAAGCTGTTTGTTGAAGTAGATTTTGCAAGTGTGACTGGTAGAAAGTGCTACAATATAAGGCAAGTTTGAATACGAATTAGTGATCAAATACCGTAGGTTTTCTTATCTTGGTTTAAGGCTAGTATTTGTGTCAGAGTATTAAATTATGTTGTTAACTTTGTGGAAAATTAAAGAATTTGGTCCAATGAACGCATCGGCTAAGTACCTCTGCATTTACTTTACATTGATTTTGGAGACCAACAATGTGTCGGCCGACACGCCTACCGACGTCAAAATAGCGGCGGCCGCACTCTACTGACGTTTTGACAACACACTTCCAACGGCAACAACGCGTCGGCTGACACCTTACCGACTTATTTCCGAAACCCTTCGGATGTACTCGCACTGGAAGCGCATTGGCCGACACTCTACCGACCTATTACCAACAACTACAACGCGTTGGCTTACATCCTACTGACTCATTACCGACACCCTTCGTACTCACCCACAAATAGTGTATTAGTAAAAACCCTACCTACGTATTAACGACGTACCTCTAATACCAAAAACGCGTCGGCTCACACTCTATCGACATAATATGGACAGCTTTCGGCTGCGCTCGCTTTAACAGCATGTCTTCCTGCACTCCGCTATTGACTAAATTTTAATCTTTGAAGTATCTTTTTGTAGAAAGTGAAAGGCGAAGAAAAATTCTAATAATAATGCAATACCTTTCCCTTGAAATTATCTTCTTCAGATTCTTAATAATCAGATTTGATGTGGAATTGCTCTAATGTGCTTATAATTCTTAGCAGTGTAGTTGTCTTCTCTTAAGGAATAGAAGAAAACTTCAGGAAGCATTTTCTCCAGACGATGGATTAAAAATTGGTAGGTCTTGTTTTGGTATGTCAAGTGTTTTAACGAAGTACAGATATATATGACACTATCGTGAAACTAATTTCATCGAGCTACGTATTCGGTTTTCACGCAAACATTTGAGCGAGTGATTGTCATAAGAACAAGGTAATCACATCTACCAATCACAACTATGGAAAATGTGACATTGCTTTTATTTACGTTGATCCCTCGGAAAAACCGTCCAAAACCCCAGAGGTTAATGCTCCAAGGATTTGTGTGACATGAACATGTGTCCTTATCGAGTAGTAGATTGAAACTAACCTTAACCACTGGCAAACCACTCTATAAGTGAGTTGGCATGTTGTACATTTGAAAGAATTGTAAGAAAATGTATGGCAATAACGAATAAAGTACTGAATAATGACATTTTTACGCATCTTAGTCTAACATTAAATTAAGCGAAATGAAATGTTAATACATGGAAAGATGTCGATGTTTAGCATCTCCAAGCTTTTCAAAACGCCTTTTCTCTGAATCGCTCACGACCGTTGTTATCATGTGCTAGAGGAGGAGAACTTAGCCCAGGTTGACCTTTTTGTAACGAATGTAATTCACATCAACAATTTTCTTACTGTTTGTTGGTACCATTACTTGAATTGCAGAAGGGAGTGAAGCACATTCTAAACACTACCATCTCCTAGCTGTGGATCTGAGAGAAGTTGATACATTAGAGAGAAAACTAAAAGAAATAGGAATCGATAAAAGGTAAGCATGCTAAAGACATAATTTTTTCTTACGAAACATAGAAAGTGCAGTTTTGAAATAGCTACCTTGAGTCAGGTTTTTCTTGCTTCTGTGAAGCTTTTCTATACTGTCTCGTATGGCTGGTTCTATTGCGTGTTTAAGCTGCACTTAATGCCATCAGTGCGTCGTGGCCGATTTGGAAACGGTGTGTACGCCGTGTTCTTGTAGAAGGGTCTAAATGTGACGACAGCTTTTACGGCTTACGGTTAGAATTTTGGCCATTTACAACTAAGAGTTGATTTATTTGAGTTTCAAATAAAAGTAAAATTTTAACGGTTAACTAACTAAATTTGCCAATTTTACGCCTGACGGATATTTTTCTTTTTAAACGTGAAAGCCATTGAGATCCTCTTGTGGGCAGCAGCAAAGAACCTCTGATGCACCTCATATAGAGGGTTGAGCTTCCGAGAAATTTAGATTTGACGTCGGCTCCTTATGTGTGTGGTGATCAGCAGCAATGTTGATATTCTCGTCTGAAAATGTTCATGATAAATCCTAGTATGATTGTCCACTGTTCTTCTGCAGCCTTCCAACAGTTTTTATCACAGAATGTGTCCTGATTTATATGGAACCCGAACATTCAGCAGCCATTATTAATTGGGCTGGAACCAATTTTAAAAATGCTGTATTTATAAACTATGAACAAGTAAGTGTAGTTTAGAGTCTCAGTGAAACAAAAGGAAAAAAGTAAAGGTTGGCACTGAAGGGATCGTTAAAGGATTTTGTCCATGACAGATTTATTTGTGTATTTATTTATTTGCAATTAGAGTAAAGAGCCCTGAGAAGGCACAGCTTCAAGTCACAATATGTGGACAAGTACTTTCATTATTTTGACCTTTTACGGTCATTATGACCTTAAAAGGTTAACACGTTGGTTTCCTGTTCGAAAGGTCCGGGTGTAAGGCTTGGTCAGCGTAGTTACGTTGTCTTCATAAGCAAAATACTACACTTTACACTTTAGGAAGAGGGTACTCTGCAATGAACCGGTGTCCCAGTTAGAAGAAGCACCAATACTTCTAGTGTTCTATTGCCATGGAAACTGGGATGAACTCTGGTGGTTGTTAGGTTGCCTGTATGAGATTCAACTGATGTGACTGTGTTTTGATTTGATTTACTTATAGGTGAATATGCAGGACAGATTTGGTCAAATTATGATCCAGAATCTTAGGGTAAAGAAAATCTGTATTTATTAGAATCGTGAGCTAAATTAATACTGTATAGATGGCCGTTATTTTGTTATAACTGCGCATAACTTTTTTACACTGTTTTTCGGTGACTCGAGGGTCAAGTTATAAATGGTCGGATGGGATAATTAAGTGAAAATGTGAATATGTTTGTCTTTTCAGGGTAGAAATTGTGAGCTTCTGGGAGCAAATGCCTGTCCTGACCTCGAATCTCATGTGAGTTACTTTGCCTTCTGAGTTAACTTTATTGACTCTACAGTGAATTGGATGCCGCTTTTAGGTGATCTGTCGAATTTATGGCAACTTTACATGACAATACATTGAACATTTCCCTAAACAGAAACAAAGATTTCTGTCGAACAACTGGGATGAAGCTGAAGTCCTAGACATGATGAGTATTTACAACAGCTTGCCTATTGACGACAGAGCAAGGTGTGTAGAACCTTCAAGTCTGATGAAATAGCTTTTTTATGTAGGAACAGTGCTGGCTCTGTTAGGACAGCACTTTCCTCCTACAACTGTGCTCCCGAGTTTGATACCTAGACTCGTCATTACACCTAAGGATTACTACTATTTTGATAAGTATTGGGCTTCGCTGCGCGTGCATCGAGCTCGTTTTCTCCCTTGTTCTGCTTTTCTTCACTCTGTTTTAAAAAAATAAAACTCGCCAAATTTTAATTATAACCCCTTTCGTTCTGGAATCAGTAGATGGAGAAACCTTTCCGTATAGGTGCTACAACCTAAGTGTTTGGATTGATTGATTGATTCATCTATTCAGTTCTTTTGTAAGGGATGCCTAAAATGTAAGCGTTGCTTATAAGCTTGACCCAGCTCGACAGTAATATTGTCCATTGACTGAGGATGCCATGTATTTGGTGCGAGCGTAGAACAAAGAGAACCTTAAAGACCCCTACGATGTGATATATAATAAATGATATGATATGATCGATGTGATCGCCGGACGTTCGGATGTTTGTGCTCTGATGCTCTACCAGTGAGCTATAGAGAACCCGTTGGTGAGTAAGGCCAGCACCATCTTCATGTGTGACACTCGTCATTTATCCTGTTAGGATCGGCAAAGTAACAAGCTTTGTGTGAGTAAATAGCTAAGACTAAAAATCGGATTTCGCGGAGCGATGGTTAATTGCCTTTAATTACTTTTACTCAATCGTTCAACGTGTGTGTTGCTCTACAGAATAGAGAGAATAGAATTCCTTGATGAAGTGGATCTTTTACATCAACTTCTCTCCCATTACTGCATATCCTGGGCCGTGAATGATGCCTCACAACTTGGTAAGTAAGAGTTAGGTTTAAAATATTTTCTGCAGTTCTTCCGTTCTTCCGTGGGCCTCTTGTTTCGAGAGTGGATGTGATGAATTTATGGCATATCAATAATTTTTATATACCACTCAGGTGAATAGTGCTTTTAACGCACGCTGATTGGCCGGTTCGGAAGTGATTAGCAAGTACTATTGACCTCCATTTGTGAATGATTGTTAACTGTTACGTCATTTCCATTTGTTCCTCCTCATGCGTCCTAAAGGCACCTTTTTGTGGCTTGCAGGTTTGTCAAGCATTTCTTTTGCGACTTAGGATGTAATTCTTGTGGAATGCATTTATTTTTTTCTGAAATGGACTTAAAGAACTTTTAAAGATACTTGACAATAAAGTGCATTTTAATAACACGCAAACTGATGGACTTTATCGTCGTCAGACTTGGAGGAGGCCTTCAGTGCAGGCGTCTGATAAGGGCGACTTAACGTTATAACTTCGCGATCGTTTAGTCGACCGGTCATGTTTGATTTAGTGTTAGAATGTACTGTAGATGAGGGGGTCGCGAAAGGCCAATTTTCTATTGCCCCAATTTTAGTGTGACACAACCAAAAAGATCCGACAAACCCCATTCCCCCTCCCCACTAAGAGTACAAATGAGCCATCCTCGTTGAAACAAAAAAAATTGAAGCACAATTAGAGCCAGAACCTGAGCCGAACCTCCAGCCTCCTAAACTGGGTACCACACAGAGAGAACTGAAGTTTACAATATTCACAGAGTTAAATATTCCTAATATAACGGCTAAACCTAATCTCCTGTTCAGAGCATTTCTTAACGAGACAATACAAACTATGACGCTAGTCTCAATATCTCAAGAACCCAATTACCCTCTGTGCTATTTCTTATTTGTGCCCACATGTATCAAACATATGGCAAGCACGTGCACGGTCAATGTTATTGACCTCTCTTGGTGAACGCAATTTTAATAATTGAAAACAATTGTTTTACTGCATGACGAAGAAATAACAAGAACTTTTCTTCGCAACAAAAGTGTTCCCGCCTTCCGTAGTCATTTTCTCCTCAAGCTCTTACAACGGGCAAGGGCGAACATTCACTATACGAGCTTATCAGAAGCTAGACTACGAGCAGTCCCTCCTTTTTGGCAAAGTCCGTCGCGCGAATTACTAAAAAAATGTGACAAAAAATTGATGTTAGATGAGAATTGGATGAGTCGATGTTAAAAATTGATGATCAAACTCGCGTGATGGTCTTCGCCGAAAAGGAGGTACTACTCGTAATGTGACGGGTAGCTGTCACCTAGTATTTCTTTGTAATGAGTAGACGAAACATTAGAAACTTCTAATAAAAGTTGCAGTCGTCATATCAAGGAAACAATTCGATATGTTTTGGATTCTATTGCCTCGTATAATGATTCCTATTTTTTTACAAAATATCGGCTTATAGGTGTTGACCTACGCTGAGATTTGCTGTCTGTTGTTATTACAGATTTAAATATATATATGACCTTCATATATTCTTAACCGTCTATTACAGATTTATCTCGAATGTTATTAAAAAGGAAAAATTAGATAGCGAGGGGGTCTTATCCCTTAAAATTTTTTTTCCCTTTATTTTAACTTTGCCAGTAAGAGCATGGCAAGAGCTCACTTTCGCTTGCAAGACAATGAAATTTAAATTCTATAATTGCTCCGACAGCGAGAGGCCTTGTTTCATTTTTAAAGTTAAACTGATTTTTGTAGTCCTGATGTGAGAATCGAAGCAAAGCTACTAACAAGTTGGCTCTCCCAGTTTACAATTATTACTTGGCATTCAAGAACCTAAGTTTGAAATTTTGAAAGTGTGATAATATTTTTTTGGATTGAGGATCTACGACTTGTAACATGAAGCCAACTGAACTTGATTCGAGAAGCGCTGTTACGGCGGTGGTAACAACAACTGTTTTAGTTTTCTACTCATTTATGGCCATCGTTGGAAATACATTGGTCTGTTTGGCCGCTTATCGGAAGAGAAGATCACTGGCAGTAACCAACATCTACATAGTCGCTTTGTCACTTTGGGATATTACTGTGTCAGTAACTGTGATTCCTTTTTCTATCGCTGCTTCATGTTTGCGAGAGTGGCCGTTCGGATACAATTTTGCGCAGTTTCAGGGGTTTATCATACATCTTTGGGCCGGTGTATCACTCTACATTTTTTCATTAACAGCCCTCAACCGGTACATCTGTGTTGTGAAACCTCAGCGCTATCCTCAGCTCTATACCAAAAAGAAAGCTGCATTCTCAATTTTGTTCGTATTTGTTTTTACGCTCGTAACAGGCGTCATTTCGATTCCTACAGCCTATGTTGTTTTCATATGGCAGCCTCAGTTTTTGTACTGTATGGCTTTTTGGCCGGATCATTCATCTATTATTTGGTTCTTTCTGTGGAGTTTTTACTTGATTTTACCGATTTTTCTTATCGTATATTGTTACGGAAAAGTTTTCTTAGTTGTAAGGCACCATAATATTGCTGTTATACCCTCATTACGACAGAATAATGCGACCACCACTCGCGCAGAAGAATTCCGCGCCTGCAGAATTCTTTTTGCTTCAGTAATTGGCTTTTGTGTGTGCTGGCTTCCCTTGAGTGTCTTTGAAATATTAGTTGGGTGGGTTAATCAGCCGGCTCTGTCTGTGCCTTCGATGTTCGCCTATGCTAGTGCGTGGATTAATCCTTTGATATATGGCGCCATGAATAGATCAATGAGGAAGGAATTTCTGAAAATACTGCGGTGTCGAAAAGCTGATCAGGAATAAACATTATGATTTGAAATATTAGTTGGGTGGGTTAATCAGCCAGCTCTGTCTGTGCCTTCGATGTTCGCCTATGCTAGTGCGTGGATTAATCCTTTGATATATGGCGCCATGAATAGATCAATGAGGAAGGAATTTCTGAAAATACTGCGGTGTCGAAAAGCTGATCAGGAATAAACATTATGATATCGCTGGCAGCGCCCGTGGGCAATATATATAGCGAGTCTTGATTGGCTACCCGAGCGGCAAAGATGGACCCATCTTGACAGAACGGAGTTGCCGAGCGGACTTACAAAGTTCATTATTCTCGGACAATATCGGTAATGAAGACGCCAAAAACGGCAGATGAAAGTCAAAAAAAAAAAAAGAAAACATGAAAGACATTCGTGATTCTGAAAAAAGCTAAATCTTTTTGCTGCTTGTATGATCAGTCCTTTATTGACCAGACTTGTTCAGTCAAGATGGCTGGATATTAGCGTTGTTCTCTTTTGCATTTTTATCGACCTCGACTTTGTCTCTGTCCTTAAAAACTCAAAAAGAAGAGAATTTGGCCAATATCCAGCCGTCTTGACCTCACGCTTGGTCAATAACGCATATTTATTAACCAGGCCTCCCCGCTTAACTCCTCCCCCATCCCCTCCCCCCTTTGCTCTTCACTTAACAAACCCCTGAGTTCCATTTTAGCGGGAAAAAAGGAAATGAAAAAAAAAAAAAACTAAGAAAGAAGGAAAAAATCGAAAAGAAAAAAATTAAAGGGAGAAGAAAAAGTAACTGAACAGAAAAAATAAAAGGCGAAGGAAAGAAAGTAGGAGAAAGAAAAGGAAGAGAAAGGAAAGGGAGGAGTGGGAAATAAAGGGAGGAGTGGGAAATAAACGGAAAAAAGGAAAGGATATTTAAGGAAAACAAAAAAGGAAGAAAGGAAAGAAACGGCAAAAGAATTATCCGGGCCCCAATCAGTTTGAATAATGTCGCACCGACAAGATGAAAAACAGCTATTTGTTTTCTCCTTGTTGGTTTTACCAGGTATGTGGAGCATGGACTCAACCACTGAATCTTTAAATGAGGAAAGGATTTTTTGTCCACTATCGCTAAAATTTGACTTTCCTTTGTCTTAGAAGTGCACAAACTACTTCTGCCCTTGAGTTGTCTTGCGATATTCCTCTAGTTCACAGAAACTAAATGAAATTAAACTTGTGCCAACCCAACAACTAAAGATACGTTTTTATCGAAGACGAGGTTCTGGCCGCGCGCTATCGTCTAAGATACCGCAAATCTCGAATGTACAAAACAAAATTTTACACAAACTCGGTCAATATCGTAAATGTCTTTCAAAAGCAAATTCAATGATTACTACTTTGAGCCGGTGAAATGAACAGAAAACCTCTCATAGAATCAAGGTATGAATTTACGCGGTGATCGAACAGTGTAATTGGCACAAAGAATGCGACGCCTTTTTTCATAATCACCTATGTTCACCACGATTGAAACAGACTGGCCTTAACAGGAAAGGGTTACAACAGAGTTTTGTTCCCATGAATCAGTGCAATTTCGGAACACGATTATATTTCATGTTGGACACTTGCTGTTAACAAGAAATTTTGGAAGTCTGCTTGATCTTCTAGCCTAATGAAATCCTCACTTCCCCGTTTGTTACTTCAATTGAATAGTAGACTTCGATTTGGTGTGAGTTGATTAGTTCAAACCCATTTTCTTGTCCGAAGATTGTCACTGTTTTGGAGTTCCCACTCTGTTCAGCTTGAGAAGAGTCGCGTACATGTACAGTAATCGAAGATTGTAATTTCGTCGCCGCAGATTCGATCAAGAATAGCCGTGTGAGGTAAGTAACCTAACGATAGAAAGTACAATGAGCAAAATCGTTTGTAAAGGTGCAACAAGGGACTTTCACACCAGGCAATAATAATTAAAACTTGTCACATCCGCGCTTTGTCTTTAACTCTAAGTGCAAAACTGTGTATCATCAATATCGCGTGAACCGATAGTATCGAAGATGTCGATGCGATATCAGGAAGATTAATTCCCTTCAGCGAACGGTGGCTTAGTAACAGTAACTCTGATAAATGGACACTCATTCATTAATATTATTGTAGTCAGTGTTTTCCGCAGACCGCACGACTTTTCACGCGTAACATCGCTGCTCCTTCAAGAGTGCGCACAGGTTCAGTAAATTGTGAAATTATTCAATTGACATTACTGTTGTTATGAACTGATTATATTGTTTAACAAATAGGTGAAGTGCTATTTGTTATGAACTTCGAAATCTTTCAAAGTGGTAAGTCCTTTACTGTCTTTCTCTCGTTCATTATCATCTCGCCGTGTTGTTCTTGGCGAGGCTACGGCTTGTGTCTTTTTCTTGTTTATGGATCGTGATGAAAGTTTGTCGTCATTAAGCAAACAGTTTCCACATCAATGATTTTCAAAAGAGAAAGAAACGGAAAAAGTAAAATTTAAAACAATACATTACGTAAATATATAAATATTTTTCCAACATGGCTGCGTCTGTTGTCTGTGAAAAAAATTGTTATGCTTTCCTTGTACGTTTTTTGTCAACGGGAGGTGTGCTGAATTAATATTTTCCAGCTTTGGGCTTTTTATAACGATAAGCTCTTAAAAGCTAAATGCAGCGCCTAAACTAATTAATCGCCAGACACACGAAACCATACTTGCCAGATGTGGAATGACACGGATTTGTTAAAATCCCCTGTCATAATTAAATAAAAAAAGTGTCAAAAAATTCGCCCCTCAGACAATTCGCTCCGGTCGATTAGCCACCAATTTCTAGACAATTCGCCCCTGATGTGAAAACGCCAAAATTATTGTAGAAAACATAGTTTTTGTCACAAAGCAATTAATTCTTGAAAAAAGAAGAAAGCTCGACTACTCGAGTCGACCGAAACAAAATAGTTTATCGATAGTCAATCGCGTAAGCAGCGAAAGCGAAAATCTACAGTCGAGCGGTAATAATTTTCAAACCTCGACTACTGGGTTCAAATACTCACACGTTTCCTGGTTTATTGAAGTGTAAAACACGAAGCCTTTTCAACGTATAAAGGATTGCAGGTCACTGTAGTTAGCTCTTTTATTATAGATACAATTGCTCAGATACGAAATAGATAAATTCGACCGCAGATAATTTTGTGTCATCCACGATAGCTACGATCGACTCGGCTGACTGGCTAGCTAGAGTAGTGGAGCTTTCCTTTCCTTTGGTAAATCAATAACTTCGGTGTTTTCGCATTGGTGGCGAATTGTCTACAAATTGGGGGCTAATTGCCCGAGGGGCGAATTGTCCTAATACCAAATGAAAATTGTCTGTAGTTAATTTAGTTAACTTGAATTTGGCAAACTAAAAGCAGAAAGTCTTTGCGGTTTAAGGCGGCTCCGACCAGAATGCCGAGTTGTCAATACATGCAAGAAAATATAGTTTGTGCTTTGATAGATATGTTGATATTCGGTCTTCGGTCAAATTGATAAAAGGTCAGTCATTTGTCGCTGCAGCAAGAACCATTCTATGTATGCGTATTTAAAGAGAAGCGACAAACACATAAATTTATAATAGGATGTTACGTAGCACAACATAAATTACTTATTCGCATGGAACTTCCTGCCACTTACATCTTGACCTTTTCCCCTCTTCCCCCGCACAAGGAACAAAGCGAGCTGAATCTTCTCAGATCAAGGTTATCTCAATTCTTAATCCACATACGATTGAATTGATTAGAGAACACAAGTCATATTTAAACAGGAATACACGGAGAAAAATGAGTTTAAGTGCGAGTGAAGTCGCTCGAAAAGTAAGCGAATTTTGGTGGATAAAACTGTAAGATATTCTAACATCGTTCCGGTTTGAGCATTCGTGACCAATTCTCTACCGTGACCAATGCGTGTTCCCTCTTGGGGGTCTTCTACCAGTCGTTTCCGAAACAACGCAACACAGATTACAAAGGTTGCCTCTGTCAGTGCTTGTTGTGTGGATTGGAGACAGTTAAGGGTTTCCTTGCCGCTCAAGTAAGTAGCTACTCATATTCAGATGTGTCGTGTCGGAAGGAAAGAAAAAAATTAATGGAAATTCGGCTTGCGCCACCAGTAATACATTGTTATTGTTGCTGTGTTTTCTTGCAATTCATTGTGCCATGTGATATTGCTCGTTCACCTTAACAAACTCCATGATGAATTCGCTAGTGATTATATCTTGTGAACGGAAGCAAACAGTTGACGCAATTTTGGTTCTGTTGAAATTTGTGTTTGTCAGCGCCAATGTGACAAAACTGGTTAACGTTCAAGTTCGCTTGAAACCTCGTGTACGGTCCTTGATTCGTTTGAGGTCCATTGAATTCGTCGGCAAACGCCTTTATGTAAGGATTTTTGGTTTTCGATTGCATTTGCTATGTTTCCGCTCCGAAATTTGCCAGAAAATGGGAAGATTTACGAAGTATTAAATATTTAAATTCATACAAATATCAAGATCGTCGAGAAAGTACATGTTATCCTAGTGACGGCCAACTGTGTAGCCTTTCAACTAGACCGAACTAAGATAAACTGACGCTTTGATGGTTACCAGCCTTCGTTGAAATTCTGATGACGTTGAAGTACTTATGAAATACTTATGACGGCTGATTGTAGAGTCTTCGACTAGACTAGATCCAGATTAACTGAAACTGTGACGGTCGTCAGTATTCGTTCGGCACTGAGTCACCTCCCAGCAGGTGTTTGGTAGTTTTAAATTTTTCAATCTCTTTTTAAAAGCAGCAAGATAACAAGACAAAGTATATGCAATTTCTTGCGGTCAAAGTCGATTCCTTCCACAACGCGCAAATTTACTAGTTTGAAACTTCTGCGTCCATATTCTTAAATCAACTCTAATATTTCGTTATATTGCTCTTCTTTGTTTACTTGGCGTTAATTTATAAATTCTTACGATCTGCTAAGTTTTAATCTCCGAATAACGACGTATTATTAGAAAGGAAGTCATTGAAATAATACACCGAAGATGTCCTCTTGTACAGCCAGATTTAGACAGGATAATCGCAAACCGTGAGCAAAACCTGTTTAAAATATCTCGGAAAATTGCCCTTCGGTCCTTAGATACCGCTTTATAACAATTTTTTTTTTTTTTTTTTTTTGGGGGGGGGGGGGGGGCGTTCAATAGACCTAAGCAGTTATGCTTTCCTATCTCATCCATTTTGATATCGTTCACGGATTTATAAGAGCAGTTTCGAAAAGAAAAATGATGAAAGTGCGACGTCCGTTTAACATGACCCAGAGAAGCTTTCACTTCGAAGTGAATGGACACTTGAATAGAGTGAGGAGGATTCTAGTCGAGAGACAATTTACGGCGAAAAAGTCTCGACATACAAGGCTTTAAAAAAATCTTAATAATTGAATTAAATAAATAGTAATTATGATTAAGAACTTGCTACATGAAATAAGCCGATGAATTGATCCAATAGTCAGCTAACAAACAATGATGATAGATATTAGTGAATCAGAAACGATTAAGATGGGTTCGATTAATGCAAGCGTAGTTTAAGATCGGTTTGCAGTTCGATCAAAATGATGGTAGAAGATTTGTTGAGTACGTGACAATCATAGACAGCCTAACGGGGTAGTGAGAACTCCAGGCAATTTGATCATCAGCTTAATTAAGAAAGGTGACGTGAAGAGCGTTTGAGTCGAGAAGCTTTTAAACCCACAATTTCTTGTGCAAAATGAAGTACATAACATAACAAAACACAAGCTCTCATTCGTAATGTTAGTTACACAGCGAGACATGTAAAATTTGCACATAACTATAGAAATATAAGGGAACAAAAAAAAGGCATTTTTAAAGGGAAGATTGTTGTTTATGCCTCGGCGACAGCACTTCATCGAACCATATCACGATTCTTGCAACTTTATACACCAGCAGATTTAAATAACTTTATTTAAGCAATTGCAATATGAGCCAGTCTTTCCTATCTTCAGCCATAGTCGTTTTGTGTCAATCATTCCTCTTATTCAGGTGTCTATCGTTAATATGAAAATGAAATTTTGTGGTTTTCCTCTTTTTGAGACTGAAGCATGGCAACGAGACCACTTTGTTTTGTTGCCACATCAGTTTTCTGTTCCTCGTGCAATACTGAAATTTTGTTTGAACTTCCGTTCAGCATAAGTGTTCCATGTTATCGTTAAAGTTAATCATCCCTGTTAGCTATGAGTTCCACTACGGCTTTCAATTATTTAAATCACTGCCACTTGAGAAATATTGTTTCAATCAGGCTTAATGGATCGCATTGTGATCAAAAAAAGTTTAAAATATAAAAGACAAGGTACTTGAGTAAACAACGTCTATTAGACACGAGCTCCAAATGACTGATGATTTGTAAATTAACTCGAAATATTTATCGGATTCCACATTAATCTTTCAAGGTTTTGTTTCATGTTGTGCGAATTCTTTTTGTTTATCCGCTCTTTTAAGCTGTGTTTTTTTTATTCCCATACGAATTTTAATGAATTAAAAATGTGTGTCATACAACATTTTTTTATGCAGCTGAGAGCGAGTCACGATTTACGTAAGTGATGAAACTGAAGCATACGTTATATAATGTAATGAAAGATAGATAATTTGTGTTTTTTAAAGTGTTGGCGTGTCTTCACCTTTGACGCAATCGAACGTGACCGGATTCGTGAACTTTTGACTTGTACGTCTTCACATGGTGCGTTTTTCGGAAAGGTCGGCCCGAAGGAATAAAATAAATTCATGTCAATTTGAGTCTTGGCCGCTTGCGCTTGACTAGTTTGACTTTGAATGCGCAAATCGCATTGTATTAACCATCAACAGCCTGAGATGCCCTAAAATTCCCTTCTTTTTACGAAAAAATGTCGTGGATAGAGGTTTCTAGATCTCTTGTTAAGAGAATAAAAACATTTTTGTCGTAACTCGTTGTTGACACAATCCTAATGTAAACAAAGGGGCTAAAACGCCGCCTACTTACGGTCAATTACAGGCAGGGGTCGCACTGTGGCCTTCTGTATTTACTGTCTTTACGTCTCCAATATGACATTTTAAGACTTTCAACACTATAATAAGTAAATCCCATTTCGTTTCGCTCTTTTTCTTCCTCTTACGGTTAATTGTTTTAATAAACTCACTCTCAGGTGTCTGTAAAAATCTCAGACAGTCTTGCAAACAGGAAATGCCCAGCAAGTTTACCTCAGTAAACATTTCCACGGAGTAATTCTGTCTAAGATCGATTATAGACAGCAGAAAAAGCGTCAATTTTTCCAAATTTTCAGGGCTTTAATGAAGTTTGAAAGAAGAAGGCAAATAATACGGAATGAAGAGAGGTTACAACCACGTTATCGTGGATACGACACTGTATGTTGTTTCGTCAAATTTCATCCAAGACTGAGCCGGATAATTCAGTTGATGAACCTCGCATGAAGCCGCTTGAGAAAGTTCTGAACGTGCGATCGATTTACACATCTAAACCTGCTAATAGTAAATTTTGCATTCAATTCTACTCAAAACTGAGAAATGGCTGCTCTACCATGTGTACAAATTCCTTCAATCATGTTTCAATAATTTTACGCTATTTCGTCAGCAGCTACGGTAGAAAAAGGAGCCGACCAAAGATGGCAGATTAGCCGGCGTTTTCGGTCAGCTAAGTGCAATACACGAGCGAAGGATGACCGAGACCTCGCCTAAAAAAAATAAAAAAAAGAAAATGAGGCCTGTTGTGCAGGCTAGTTCGATTGTGTACAAGGCGCCGTCATTTCTTCAGACCTCGAACAAATACCAACACTTTGAAAAAAAACTTCCGACAGCTTTTTCTTATTTTTGCATACATTCTTAACATCGTCGTGCTATTAACAGGTAAATGCAGCTCCACTTACGGTCTGGTAACGACGCGTTTTCCAGCACATCAGCAGGTTATTAACTTAACCCGTTGTCAAGGAAACCTAACAAAAAAATTTTTGTCGACACAAAAAGGTGATAAGAAGAGGGTGAAATATAAAAGAAGGGATATTGTTTGATCTTTGTTCAAATTTTATGAGGTGATATCAGAACGAGTATCCGGCAGAATCATGTCAGATCTTGGAGGGTTTCACTATATTTAGCCCAGTGAACCGGGATGATTCGGTTTCTTATGTCCTATCTTACCTTATCCAAAAACAAACAATCGAATAAACAAAAATAATGTGTTCGAAAGAGGGGGCGGTTTGGCGCGACAAGGGTAGAAATTCTCCCAAATCAAGGCATCTAACTAAAAAATTTGGCGGAATTGTTCACTTCTGTGGCAGTGCTGAAATTTCCCATATGTTCCAAAAGAAGGAAAAATAAATACTGTCAAACTGGCAATATTGGTTAACTGTCTCGTATGATTAAGAAACAAGAGCACGCATTGAAAATAAATATGCACGAACAGTAAACATTGATTCGTGCTCGCAAAGCATCTGTGTGAGCATCATGTTATGATGCCTTACGGCTTCTATGCAGGTTTTGAGCTCAACTTCCATCTAACTGCAAAATCAACTGGTCATATATCTTGATGGTAAAGCATTTAATCAATCACTCGGCTCCGATGTGTGATGAACAAACTTTTCTCGTGTTCTTCCAGCATCCCACGTGGGTAATTACGCCGGTAAACCGATAAAAAGAGAGGTCTACTGCATTTATAAAATGTGCTGAAAACAAAACACAGTTTTGCATAGCAGGCGTAATTTTGGCGAGCGAGTGCTTAGGATTTTCTTCGTGAAAATTATGGTCACCATCTTTTATTTTAATGACAGCGGAAGGCTGGGGAGAGAAAGAAATTTGTACCAAGGGGGGGGGGGGGGGGGGTCCGACGGTCAAAAATAAGACCGGTTGAATAAATGATTTGCGAACTCGCCCTTTCAAGACGCCCATGGTCTTACAAGTGCAACGAGAGATAGTTTTTTATCAATCAGAGCAGTCGTAGTATCTCACTTTTTTTGTACTGATAGATATATCTCAACTGTTTACCGAGAGTCAGTTCTTTCAAGGT